CCCAATGTGTGAACCCCTTTGTATAATCACTAGGTGAAATAATCCAAAGGTGACCCATAATCCTTCGTGGATATCAAATTAACCGATTCTTATAAAACCCAATCCTTCGTTAGAGAAGAGATGATCGTCTTACCTCTTTTCTCCTTATATCTGGTGTGAATTACCAGATAAATGTGATGGAATACCCACTAAGAGCCCCTTATAACCCTCCAAACCCCCCAGTCCTTGTATAATGACGATAAGAAATCTGGTTTAGTCTGGTGAATTTAACAGGCTCTCGGCTGAGTAGTGTCATATCCCTGACATTCACTCGACGTTAAGTGATTGTCCCAAAAACACCAACACGCAATAAGTGTTAACCTCCTAACAGCCCCGCCCACCCCCCTGTGTAAAAAGTACCTGGTGCCCCATCATCTAAGAACACAATGAGGTGTCGCCAACAGTGGGTTTTAAAGGTCTAAAATATTGGTGCCAGTCAAAAGCCATACTAAAGTAAAACCAAACCCACGATATTTTTGGGTAAACAACTAAAACTAATCCAATTTGTAAAAATCTTCCTGATGTATGTAAACAAAAAAAACTGTTTCGCCCTAAGGAGACACCAACACCCCCTGCCCTGTAATAGGGCATAAACAAGAGATTTCTGAATACATGCCAAGACCACAAGGTGCTCGATGAACAACACCTTGAAGATGGCATCCCGGTGGAAGTGTTTAATAGAAAGTGGTCCACAGTATATGACACAAATAACTCGAGAAACAACGGGTATGTTTTGAAAAGAGAGTGAAGAACTGTTCTTGCTCTGCAAACTGTATCCCTGTTGTCCCATACTTGTTAGCAACCCTTAATAAAATGTTAACCCTTTCAGCAAAGAGAAGAAAATTTGGCCTTGAGAATTAAAACAATGAACACAGCAAGAACTGATAGTAATGGGTTTCAGTCCTGGGTCCTATTTTCAGGAGAATAACAAATAATGCCCTTGACCCACCTTGCTGGTTTTTTTTCCCAAAATTCCATAACTAACCACCAAGTAAATTATCGATAACCAGTCAATAATAAAACTACGCCCTCGGTGTGAACTAAAATCGGAAAAAAACCGCCAAACTGGTAGAAAAACCTTATTCTTTTCTTTTCCTGTCTGGGTCCGGTCAAACACTTCGTGGGGCTCTTTTGCATTCACTGATAAACTTTTTTCTTAAAGCGATTTTCCCTCCCCAGGGCCCAAATGGCCAGCCTATACAAAAACATCAAAAAATTTTTGTAACTCTCCGTATGGTTCCTTCCTTTTTACCTTTCGGGCGATCAGTAGATTGGATCAAATAGAAAAGCCACTATGAGGCAACAACCAACCGGACCAAATGAACCCACCTGATTACCTAGGGTGTGAGTTAAATAAAATTAAAAGTACAATACCAACTAAGATCACAAATAACACCTTTCTTTTTCCTGGTCCCTTGAATTTTAAATACCGACCGATCAAAATTTCTTTTTTTTTTTTTTCCTTGGATAAATTTGTAAATTTTGGTCTTGGATGAAGAGAACATTATTTTTTCCTTTTGGTATCCCAGTTATTTCCCAACAATTGTTGTTTCCAACAACCCTTTTTAATTAAAATGGCGGCGTTTACCTGTGTTTTCCATCAAAAAATTTAAACAAACCCAAATAAAAAAAAAAAATATTTTTAAAAATTTGTAAAGAAAGGAAAAAATCATAAAAACCAGCATTATCTCCCATATTTGGTCGAAGACAAAAAGAGGGAGATCTCACAAACACCCTTTTAAAAATAAGAACAACAAATCAAAATTAATAGAAAACCGTCAAATCCCAAAGAAAATACTTTAAACACTTAAATGCCCCACCTTATTAATCCATTTTTAAAACTAATTAAAGTGTTCATTCCAATGGGGGGGGGCCCACAAAAACCCCCACCAAACAACCAAAGTTCTAATCTAAAAATTAATTTGAATCTATCTGCCCCCCTTTTTGTAAAACCCAAAAAAAGAAAAATTTCCTTCCTGCGTCTCGGAAATTGAAATTTTCTCTTTTCTTGCTTTTCCCCTTGTCTATGCGATCCCTCCACCCCCCGACCACACCATTCCCGATACTAATTTCAGTAATTTGAAACCAAAATTCAACTTCTTGGCTCAAAACACGAGCCTTTAAACTGTTTAAGATAAATAAGTGGCGGCTCACCTATAGTTAAACCTATCTAAGGGTTGGGTGTTGTTGATTCAAAGTAATTTGTGAAAAGATACGCATACAAATCTGGAAGCCTTCTTCCATCACCCAAATCCCCAAAAGCAAAAAAAAACGTCCCAAGGACCCAATGGCCCAAATGAGGTGTAAGCCAAACACCCCCATCTATAACCACAAGGATAAAGGAACCGGAATAAGAATTCAACATTATGCTCATCACCTGAAAAACCTGACAAAATCCAGATAGTGTTAGCCTATGCCGTTGACGCAGATGAAGTTTGCAGGCTTAATTACTCCTTTCTTCTAACAGCAGTGCTATTCCTAGTCTGGCGCGCGCGGCCTTGCCTCTCTTTTTTCCATACCACAGGAGTCATGCTATATTTGAGAAAATAAAGATTATTGCAAGGAATATACAGAAGGGAAAACCCGTATCTTCATCTTTTTGATAGGTATTTGTAACTAAACCTTCCACAATATCTTAGCAGAAATGGAGTTCAATCTCGAGGGGGCCCAATTCAAATTCTTTAACTTGGCTTTAAGCTCCACCCCATTCTAACAGCCTGTTCAAATGGGTCCACTTGGGAGAAGGTGTGCGACGGCATTGGATTGCCTTGTGATTCCTTCAGTCAAGTGTCGTATTCAGTTCTCCCAACCACCTTGGTTGATCCTTAGGATAATGACTTCTGTTCAGGGTAGAGAATTGGAGAATTAGGAAGCTATGCAAAGAAGAGAGAAAGGCAGGGGAAGACAGAAGCCCCCCACTGCTATGAATGTAGAGTCTCGCCTACCACTCTAGGTTTTAGAAAACAAGAATGCTTACTCCTTAACTTGATGACAAGATTCCTTCTCAGTGTGGAAATTTTTTACAACCAGGGCCAGCAACACTCTCGTCCCATTTACACAAAATCCATATGCAACAACAGAACCCAAGAGACTTAAAAATAGAATGTAAAGTTAGACTTTCAGCTTTGCTACGCTGTGCTTCATCCTTCATACCTTGCATCATAACCCAACTCATATAAGAGGAAGAGTTTCCCTAAACAATGAAATCGGCTAAGTAACTAGTGGAGGTGAAAACATTTCTGACCACTGGCTGTCCACACCATCAGATGTCCTCCCTACAGCCCCTGGATCGCATCGAACGAAATATGACATTGTGAATGCTGTGGAAATATCTGCAGAAGATGGATCAGGGCATGTAACCAGATTCTTCGCTCTCCAGGTAGTACTCTTACGAGAGGAAAGTGAACGGCCATGTGAATGTGCATTAGAACATGAAGACAGGGTTTGGACTAACACTGTTAGCTCTGGGATAACTGACAAGTAATGTACAAAGTGACACTTTCGTCACAAAAAATACACACCTTGATTTTTGTGTTGCATGTGGCACGTTGTTACTTCTAGGAAAGGTACCTGGCTGAACTGGTTGACACAAAATGTTTGTCGTCTTTTGGTACAAAGAGGCGCCAACCTGAGATGTGTAGAAAGTTATTAAGGGTTAAAGGCCATTACCTTAAGAGGCGGACAGGGCTGTTTCCAGACGACTTAGTTGTAGCAGTTCTCACCCTTCTGATTGCTCTAGTTACCGGGAGCGCTGCTCTCTACTCGTTGTTCTTGTCTTCCGAATTATGCTCCAGAGAAAAAGAACTAACAGTATGAGGGAGGAGAGGAGTGTGAAGATTTTGAGGTAGGTTCATATGTGTCATTATCTGAGAGGGGAAACCAGGCTATTGAATCATTTGGTTTAATGATAAGATGGCAAGGGCCCCTGTTACTTTTGTGTTTTAATTCCCCACAGACCATCACCTTAATCTCCAACTTCTTTTTCCTTATTCAGGAATTCCTTCTGATCTTTTTTATGCCTCGCTCTTGCTACACAGTCTTGATTTGAGCTCATTTGACATTACTTATGATATGGCCAGATTTTGTCTAGATTCTGTTTCAATTGAAGTTGGGTTGTATGGATAAAGTTATTGGAAAATATTAAGAATTTGTAACTGCTTCCGGCCTTCATCGCTCTGCATTCAAAAATGTTTGGTTATACTGTCTTGCATGTCGCGTAAGTTAAAGGTGGAACGGTCCGTCCAGAA